CAATTCTCCTGCCTCAGCCTCCTGAGTAGCTGGGATTACAGGCACGCACCACCATGCCCAGCTAATTTTTTGTATTTTTAATAGAGACGGGGTTTCACCATGTTGACCAAGATGGTCTCGATCTCTTGACCTCGTGATCCACCCGCGTCGGCCTCCCAAAGTGCTGGGATTACAGGCTTGAGCCACCGCGCCCGGCCCCCAACAATATGGTTTTTGACTACCACCTCTGCCTCTTGCCAACTGAGAAGCCACTGGCATATTGCTTAATATTTCTGTGCTAAATAGGAATACTGCTCCTACCACACAGTATTAAATGAGATATTCCATGCTAAGCACTCAAGAGAGTACCTGGCCCAAGGGTCCATAATTCTAATCTCGGCCTTTCATTGGTTTTACAAAGGTGGTTTCAATCTTCCAACAGGGAGGGGACAAGTTTTCGGGAGGGACCATTATCATCCTTGCTTTCAAGCTCAACTCTAAACCAAATACCTCCCATGGTTCGTTTAGCCTGACCCATGCCCCGGAATGAGCAAGGACAGCAGGGCTGTAAGGCTAGAAGCAGGATGGAGTCAGCCATGCTGGACTTTTCTTGCTGTAATAATGTTTGCAAAGGCAGTGTCATCAGCAAGGCCAGGCTCACATGTCCTTTTGTAAAGTAACTGAAAAAAAAACAGAGAAGACACAGTTCACCTCACTGTACATCTGAAATATAATTAGAAGCTGTCATCCCAGAAGGGTTAACACAGGTCTTTTGGAAGTTATAAGAATCTCAAGATGATTCTGATTTAATCAAAAAGTAACAAATACATTTAAAAATTAAGAGACACAGAAAGAAAAAAGCACTTGCTGGTATTTGTCTAAAAAGTGCAGGAAACTTTTCCCATTTTTGGATCCAAAATGAGTGGCTAGCATATGATGAGCTCCCTGGATGGCCCAGCAGAAGCACTTAAGCCATGTGGTGATCCGAAGCCTCAGCCAGCCCAGGTGTTCGGACCTGAGCTGTCTGCAGGCCAGACTTTTCTTAGGACGTCGAGAAAGCAAACAAGCTCATGGTCATTGTCTAACCATGAATAATACCAGGCTGGATTGAGCAAAGCCCTCTTTGGCAGAGACATACAGGAATTTGGAGTCCTGACAGCTGTTAACAGTGGCAGGACTGGGAGGAAGCAAGATATCTGCTGGGCCCCCAGCCTGGGAGCCTGGCTGCCAGCCCAGGGCATGGC